CAGCCTTCTGGTTAGCAGGCAAGTGTCTTAGCCACTATGCTACCAGAGCTCCTATGGAAAGTGAATTTGCTCTGTAAACTTTTACCCAAATCACAAGTTAAAAAAAAAAAAAAAAAAAATTATCTCCCATTAAAAACTCCCCAACAAGAGAACAGTTCAATTCAACCTTGAAACTACACTCCTAACTGGAGTTAGAAGATAAGAAAAACAATTTCTCCAATGTGTTCATGTAAACTTCCAGCGCTCAGGCTGCTCCAGTGGAGTGGAAACTTAAGAAGGATAATCAGGGAAGTGAAAAGACAGCAAGAAACACTGAGTATCTCTACAGATGAGATTAAAAAAAAAAAAACTCCCAATTTTTTCTAGTTTAATCAATCAAGTAAGATAATAATTCTTAAGATGTAAGTTTTAATAGACTAAAAAGCTAAACCCATGCAAAGTATTAATATGTATTATATTCAATCACAAGAGGGTTCTACTTACATCTAGTTGTTCCCTTGTGGGTTCGGGTGATCGATCAGGAATTAATAAATCAGGAGGATCATCAAATGGATCATCTAAAATCACGGTATGATTTATCCTTATAAAATAAATCCAAATCAAATGTTACATTTTCATTATTTCAGAATCTTTATTTTTATGAAGATTATAATAAGTGTCTTAAGTATCTCTAATGACAAAAAGAACCATAAGCTCTTAAATTTTATCGTACAAGGATATTACTAGTGTTACAGTTTTTTAGTGTTATGATTTTTCAGTTCATTGCTTGATATTTATTACTCTGCATTATTCTGATATAAAGTAATGTAAATGTCTAAATCTGAGTACTTTTGCCCTATTTCTAATAATCCCCATTTTTAAAAACTAAAAAGGAATTAATAATTCCACCCAAAATAAGCAATTATAAATAATTACAGTACAAGTGTGAAAATACAAAAGGTATTAAATCTATTTTACAGTTTTGCATTAATTCATGTTTAGAATTACCAAAAAAAAAAAAAAAAAACAGTTTTATGCATGCTATCATCATTATAATGTCAAACACCAGAGAAGTAATATACTCCAATACCTTCAGATAGTGAATTTTAATCATACCTGATATCTTGGTAAGGTACAAAGTCCTTATCAACAAAGGTCTCATTAATTTTCTTAATTATGTCCATGCCTTCTGTTACCTCACCAAACACTGTATGAACACCATCAAGGTAATCTAGATTCTCTCCTGTAGTAATAAGAAACTATATAGAAAAACATATAAAATATACATATACATATCATTTGTATATATACATCTCATACATGAAATCAGTTACAGACTAACAAAAAATTCACAAAAGACTGTGCGTTAACTGCATATTCTCTTATACACTTGCTACTTTGTTGTTATGTGCCATCCAGTCAGACCCGACTCATAGCGACCCCTCCTTGGGTTTCCAAGGCAGTATCACTACGGAAGTAGATTGCCCCATCTTCCTTCCGAGGAGTGGCTGGTGGGTTTGAACCGCCAGCCTTCTGGTTAGCAGTCAAGTGCTTTAGGAACTATGCTACCAGAGCTCCTTACACATGCTACTAGTACTAAAAGTACAAAAGTTTAAGTATAAAAATCAGCATATACATGGATGTTCCACTGATTGCTCAAAATACTTGGACAAATCAAAGTCAGTCTCTTTACATCTAAACTGGAAAACAAAAGAACTTACACTAATGGGGTTGTTGTGAGGATTAAGCAAAACAATCAACGAAATGTGCTCAACATAACCTCTTATAAAATCTGTAACAAATACTGAAAGGAAAGAGGCCACAATGTGAACAGTGATGATCTCTGGGTGATGGAGTTGTGAGAAATACTATTTTCTTCTTTACACTTTTCTGTATTTTCTAAATTCCTTACAATGGATATGCATTACATTTGAAACAACATAAAAATACAAATTTTTTTTTAATATGAAAAACAATGCAATTCTTTCTTCTAACAAATATGTTTGAAATACTCTCCTCACTGAATAGTTTAACAAGATAATTTTGTGGGTCCTTCTAGTGTTTTATTTTAAAGTAAAACTCATCTTGTCAACCATTTCCCAACCTGAGATCCGTGCTGATCACTGCCATTGTTCACCATGGACACGGTGCCTTTCTTCTTGTGTTTAATTCTTGGTACTTTCTCTGCCTCAAAAAAGCTTGCTTGATCACCATACAGTTGACTGAAAATATATGTAATAAAGTTATAATATAAGTACCCTCATAATGTAATACAGAAGTATGAGTAACATATAAGGTTACCAGATAGCTCTTTAGAGGAATGTCACTACAATTCCAAATACTCCTCTTTTTTGAGGTACACATTTAGGAAACTTGGAAAAAGAGCCTATATTTGAACCATATATTAAAATGTAGATTGAAGCATGCTAGTTAACACTGTAAGAGGCAATTCTACTTTTACTTTTTTTAAAATAAAAGAACTCACCCAAAAACAGACTCTCCTCCACGGCCAGTCCCCGTAGGATCACCAGTTTGTATAATAAAATCCCTCTATAACACACAGGATATTTTGTTAATTCACAAAGTACACTAGATGGTCTAAATAACAAAGGACATTAACTAATATCCACAACTCACCTGTACATTGTGAATAAGGCAATAATTGTAATATTTTATTTTGCACAACTTCAGGAAATTCAAGCAGGCTGAAAAAAATTAAATATTAAATTTACCATAGTAGTCCACATATAAATTTTTAAGCAAGTAAAAGCAAAGCTACTATGATTTAATTTCTAAATTAGCATAAAACAAAAAAAGATCCAATATCCAAGGCCATTTTAAAAAAGATAGTAAGCCTAGAAAGAAGCAACATATTTTAAACGATCTTTCTCTTAGCATTTCTTCGGCACTGAGGTAATGCAGGAAATCCATAGTTACAATAAGCAATCATTTACTGACACACTGATTTTGTGAGAGAAAAATAACAATTAAAAAGGATATCCGTATACTTTGTTTTACTGCACTTTGCAGATAATGCCCTTTTTTTTTTTTTAATTGCGATTTGGGTGAAAATTTACAGAGCAAATTCACTCTCCATACAGCAGTTCACATATACTTTTTCTCATGACATTGACTACAATTTACCCCAATGCAACAGCTCCCCTCTTCCACTTCCTCCCAATAGTTCCCTCTTCTCTGTGTCCATCCCTCCATGCATTCCAGCCCCCTGAGCTGTCTGTCTGTGCATAAGCAGACCTTCTTTCTCCCATGACTGATCTCTCCAAGGAGTGACACTGCCCTTTTTACAAACTGAACATCTGTAGCATCCCTGCATTAAGTGAGTCTATCAGTGCCATTTTTCTAACAGCATGTGCTCACTTCATGTCTGTGCCACATTCTGGTAATTCATACAATATTTCAAATCTTTTCATAATACTATTGTACGCTTAATAGACTACAGTATAGGATAAACACAACTTTTATACATAATGAGAAATAAATTTGTGTGACTCGTTCTACTGCACCCACTTTATGCAGCGGTTTGGAACCAAACCTGCACTATTTCTGAGGTATGCCTGTACTGTGATGGGAAAAGAGCTAGCAGAGCATGTTACAATGGGTGCATGTTTCATTAATTAGAGAAAATGAAACATTCTGTGGATCAATTTTTTAAAAGGCAATGACTAATGAGCCCTCCACAAATACCCATACATTTATCATGTACCATTTTTCTCATATCAATTCAACGGTTTAACCAATACACATTTTCTGAGCACCTTTTGCATGTCTGGCATTACTGTCACAGATGTCATTAAACCATAGACCCTGCTCTCAAGTTCATAGTCTACTTGGGGAGAGAATGCTTAACAAGTTCTCAAGGCACTAAGATAGAAACAATACAGTAAGCCATATGAGGCAGTCCCTGCCCTCATGACCTTACACTAAAGCTGAGTACTTACACATGAACACAAACAGCAAGCACTGGCTTACCTGTGCTTATCTACTAATCTATAGTGAACAGTTACATGTTTTTTCACATCAAAGATTCTGCTTCTAGATATGGCTGGCATCTGACTCTCCCAATCCCACAGAACCTTCCTACAGAATCACAGCTTCTTTTCAAATGTACAGTCCCTGACAGGGACAGAGTACCCAGTAAGCAAGGTAAGCTCTCTTGAAGTCAGTCACATTTTAAAAGGAGACAAGACTTGAAAATTAATTGCAGGGAAATAGGTAAATGTTATTATAAAACATTCACATGTGACACAAAAAGACCTGAGATAGAACAGAAGGAATAGGATCTAACTCTGCTTAGGACCAGGGGAGCTTCATAAAAGAGGTCATGCTTGATCTGAAATCTGATCAAGTGTTCACCAGAAGGACAAGAGTGGAGAGACATATGGAGTAGAGGCAACAGTATGAGAAAGGCATGGACATGCGGGAGAATACATAGTTTGTAAGGGATAGTTGAGTGTAAGAGAAAGTATTTGTTGTTATGTTGTTATGTGCCATCGAGTCAAACTCGACTCATAGCGACCCCTCCTTGGGTTTCCGAGGCAGTATCACTACGGAAGTAGGATTGCCCAACCTTCCTTCCGAGGAGTGGCTGGTGGGTTTGAACCGCCAGCCGTCTGGTTAGCAGGCAAGTGTCTTAGCCACTATGCTACCAGAGCTCCCAAGAGAAAGTATAGTATAGCAAAACACAACGCAACCACTGCCATGGAGTTGGATCCGACTCATAGTGACCCCTCCTTGGGTTTCCAAGGTGGTATTGCTACGGCATAGATTGCCCAACCTTCCTTCCAGGGAGTGGCTGGTGGGTTTGAACCGCCAGCCTTAGGTACTATGCCACCAGAGCTCCCACAGTATGGCAGGAGGCACTTATTTACAGTATTGTAGCTTGTTTTACCTTCTTTGATAAACTCTGCCTCCCAGGGGAACAGGAATCTGATTGGAATCACTATTATTTTTATGCACACAAATAACGCTCACTTTATATGGTTTAAACTGCACAACCCCCTTATAGTTTAGTTTTCTAGGCACTATGCATGTTATAAGGAGCTCTGATGAGGCAGGGGGTAAGGCAATTGCTGCTAACCAGAAGGTCAGTGGTTCAAAGCCATGTGCTGCTCTTCAGAAGGAAGACAAGGCATCTACTTCTATAAAGATTTACAGCTCTGGAAACCCTAGAGGGGTCGCTATGGGTCGGAATCAACTCGATGGCAGTGGGTGTGCACGTTATATGTGTGTGTACATCATTTATGAAAATACAGTAAACTCTCCTGGTCTCTAGTTTCTTCCTAATTTGATACATTCTCTAAACAGCTGCCTGTTATCATCCTGAAACAAGTTTTCCCTGCCTCAATCCTGCTTTAAAACCTTCACTGGGCTTCCATTAAGGGCAACAGAAAAATGTGGAAACAGTGCTGAAGGAGCCACAGCGTCATGAACATAACTAATGTTACTGAACTGCACAGGTAAAAAATGTTAAAATGACAAATGTTTCATACATACATATATATACCAAAAAAAAAAAAAAAAAACTCACTGCCTTTGAGTCGGAACCGACCCATATCGGCCCCTCCCTGGGTTTCCGAGGCAGTATCACTACCGAGGTAGACTGTCCAACCTTCCTTCCGGAGAGTGGCTGGTGGGTTTGAACCGCCAGCCTTCTGGTTAGCAGTCAAATGCCTTAGGTACTACACCACCAGAGCTCCTATATATATGTGTATATATATATATATATATATGTATATATATATATATATACACACACACACATATACATATATACATATATATATATACACACACACACGCACACACACACAATTTAAAAAACAAAACAAAGAACTCTCCGTGGCTCTGGTCATTAATTAGCATGGCACTCGAAATCTGGCCTTACGTTATTTGACGGGATTCGCAGTCTGCTCTTATTCGACTTCACTTACCATTCCCTCTAGCATGCCAAACTACTTGCTGTTTCCAGAAAATACCAAGCAAATGCTTAGAAAACTCTCGTTGCCACTCATCTTTGAATGAGTTAATTCAAGCGCTCAGCATTCCTAGCTTGCTCTTCTCCCCAAGCCAACCAGAAATTACTCCCTCCTCTGGTTTCCATGGCGATGCACTTATCTTTCCACTACAATACAAAGTTAAATGGGCTCCCGCGCCTATTATCCCCAAGGAAAAATTAAACCCTCGAGCACAAACCGCTTGTGCCAAAACTTGGAACAGTGTGTCCTGCAGAGTACGCGGTCAATGAATGTTGGCTCCAGTCTGTAAACCTCTGCACAAAACGTTCCTCTCGCGCGGCTGGTATACCCACTCACTGCTCCAGTCACAGACTATCTGCTTTTCATCAACATTTAACTGATTACACACCAAGTAATATTCGTAACGCCACACAAACGATCTGTGTTGTATATATAAACTGCATTTGGGGTATATTCTCTCCCTTACTCTCACCCATACATACACACACGTCTCCAAAGGAGACCACAAGCTTCCGCCACCAGTCTGACCCACACAAAAAGAGAAGAAGAGGTGCTAAAGCCGAAAAAAATCCTCCTCACAAAAACTTTCTAAGCAAGGCTCGATTGTGAATCAGCCCCGTGACAAGCACTAAAAGATTAGAAGCTCGTAAAAGTCGCCTGGGGAAAAGAAGGGAAAGTGAAGCGAGATGGGGAATCCGGCGACAGGAGAGCAGGACCCAGGCCTCACCGCGCGGCCGCTCCTCGGTGTACAAGTCGATGACGACGTCGCCCAAAGTGGTCTCTAACAGAACCGCCATGGCGCCAGCTCCTCCTCTGCAACAAGCCCCTGGGAGTGACAGCCGCAGCCGTCGACGTTTACGCTGTACGTCACCCTCGGCGCGACGGCTTTTTTCGTCATCCCTCCAGCGACAGCATCCCTTCCGGCTGCTTTTGGAGGTTGGCTGGTAGCAGCCGTTTTGCAACACGGTGCTGACGTGAAGCTGCCCGTGGGCTCGCCCCCGGCGCGGTCCTTTTTGAAAATGCTGGGCGGCCTTTCGCGACCTGGACGTGTTCAGAAGCCTTTGGCTCAAAGGGGCCTCTGTACTATGTTTTGTGCCCCTGCTCATCTAAAGAAAATGATGTAAGATTTTGTAAGAAAATGATTACCAGAGTAACCCGAGGAAGACCATGGCACTGCCTTACTGAAATCTCTGGATTTCCTGGCATTCATTTGACCGCTAACCAGAAAGCTGGCAGTTCAAACCCAACAGCCACGCCTGGGAAGGAAGGTTGGGCAATCTACTTCCGTGATGACACCGCCTGGAAAACCCAAGGAGGGCTCGCTCTGAATCGGACCGACTCCACGACAGTGAGTTTGGTTTGGAGTCAAGAATTTCAAGCCCTCAACGCGCATGCTATCCAAAAAGGTGGTTAACTGGCAGCGCCTTCCTAGCTAATTATGCCTAGGCATCAATTGTTCTTATGCAAGTTTAAGTTGAAGCTGAAGAAAACTGAGTCCACAAAAGCCAAAATACAATCGTGATTATATTGCACCTGAATTTAGAGACTATGTGAAGAATAGATTTGATTAATTGAACACTAATGACTGAAGGAAGGTTGGGCAATCTACTTCCGTAGTGATACTGCCTGGGAAACCCAAGGAGGGGTCGCTATGAGTCTGGGCTGACTCCACGGCATACAACAACAAAAATGACTGAAGACCACAGGAGTTGTGGGATGACATTGTTGCTTCAACATCAAGGTTAGCATACATAAAGAAAGCAAAAGGTCCTTAAAAAGACAAAGAAGAAGAAAACACCAAAATAGATGGCGGAAGAGACTCTGAAACTTGCTGTTGAATGGAGAGTAGCTAAAACAATACATAGACAGGGAATTACCATGTTGGGGCGTTTCCACTTGCAGTGCTTTCTGGGCTTCCCCCAGTTATTTACATACCCCTCTTTCACCTCCTTCAATTCTTTGTGTGTCAACATCTCAGTAAGGCCTTTCCTGACCATCATAATTAAAATTAAACCCACATGTATGCACTTACTTTATACACTTTTTTTTCTCTGTATTTTACTATCTAATAGGCTGTACCACCACTCATCTGTCAATTTTTCATACTGTGGTGACTTGCATGTTGCTGGGATGCTGGAAGCTATGCCACCTGGTTTTCAAATATCACCAAGGTCACACATGGTGAACAGGTTTCAGTGAAGCTTACAGACTAAGACAGACTAGGAAGAAGGACATAACCAGGTCCACTTCTGAAAGAATTGGCCACTGAAAACCTTATGAGTAGCAGTAAAACATTATCTGATATACTGCCAGAAGATGAACCCCTCAAGTTGGAAGGCACTAAAATAAGACTGGATGAAGAGATGTCTTCTGAAAGTAGAGTAGACCTAAACAATGGATAGAATAAAGCATTTTGGACCTTCATTTGCTGATGTGGCATGACTCAAAATTAGGAGAAACAGCTGCAACCATCCATTAAAAATTGGAACATAGAATGTATGAAGTATGACTCTAGGAAAATTCAAAATTGCAAAACATGAAATGGAACTCATAAAGATCGATATTCTAGGCATTAGTGAGCTGAAATGTACTGGTGTTGGCCATTTTGAATTGGACAATCATATGGCCTACTACACCAGGAATGACTAATTGAAGAGGAATGGCATCCCATTCATCAAAAAGAACACTTCAAGATCTATCCTGAAGTATAATACCCATATGCTTATGTTGTTGTTATGTGCCGTCGAGTTAGCAACCCCTCCTTGGCTTTCCAAGGCAGTATCACTACGGAAGTAGATTGCCCCATCTTCCTTCCGAGGAGTGGCTGTTGGGTTTGTACCACCAGGCTTTTGGTTAGCAGTCAAGTGCCTTGGCCACTATACTACTAGAGCTCCCATATGCTTATAAGAAACACAATTCAATATGACTATTACTCAAATTTACATACCACCCACAAAAGACAAAGATGAAAAAATTGAAGAGTTTTACCACGTTCTGCAATCTGAGATTGATCAAACATGCAATGAAGATGCATTGATAATTAGTGATGATTGAAATGTGAAAGTTGGAAATAAAGGATTGGTAGTTGGAAAATATGGCCTTGGTGATAGAAAGAGTGCTAGAGATCACATGATAGAATTTTGCAAGACCAACAACTTATTTAATTGCAAGTACCTTTTTCAGCAAAATAAATGGTAACTATACATGTGACCTTGCCAGCTATAATACACAGGAATCAATTTGAGTGCCTCTGTGGAAAAAAATGATGAAGAAGCTCAGTATCATTAGTCAGAACAAGGCCAAGGGCCAGCTGTGGAACAGAACATCAATTGTTCTTATGCAAGTTTAAGTTGAAGCTAAAGAAAATTGAGTCCACAAAAGCCAAAATACAATCTTGATTATATTGCACCTGAATTTAGAGACCATGTGAAGAATAGATTTGATTAATTGAACACTAATGACTGAAGGCCACAGGAGTTGTGGGATGACATTGTTGCTTCAACATCAAGGTTAGCATACATAAAGAAAGCAAAAGGTCATTAAAAAGACAAAGAAGAAAACACCAAAATAGATGGCAGAAGAGACTCTGAAACTTGCTGTTGAATGGAGAGTAGCTAAAAGGAAGAAATGAAGTAGAAGATCTGAACAGAAGATTTCAAAAGGTGGCTTGAGAAGACAAAGTAAAGTATTATAATGAAATGTGTGAAGAACTGAAGTTAGAAAAACAAAAGGGAAGAATACGCTTGACATTTGTCAAGCTGTAAGAACTGAAGAAAAATTCAAGACTTGAGTTACAATGGTGAAGGACTGTGGGCAAGATATTGAATGATGCAGGAAGCAGCGAAGGAAGAGGGAAAGAATACACAGTCACTGTACAAACAAACAAAAAAAAATTGATCAGTGTTCAGCCATTTCAGGAGATCACATATGATCAAGAACCAATGGCATTGAAGGAAAAAAATCTAAGCTGCACTGGAGATATTTGTGAAAATAAAGGTTCCAAGAATTGACAGAATACCAATGGAGATGTTTCAACAAAAGTATGTAACACTGGAAATGCTCACTTATCTATGCCAAGAAATTTTTAATACAGGTACCTGGCCAACTGACTGAAAGAGATCCATATTTGTGCCCATCCCAAAGAAAAGTAACCCAACCGAATGTGCATGCTACCAAATAATATCATTAATACCATAAACAAGTAATATTTTGCTGAAAATAATTCAAATATGGTTGCAGCAATACGTAGACTGGGAATTACCAGAAATTCAAGCCAGATTCGGAAGAGGACATCGAACAAAGAATATCATTGCTGATGTCAGATGGATATTGATTGAAAGCAGAGAGTACCAGAAATATGTTCACCAATGTTTTATTGACTATGCAAAGGTATATGACTGGGTGGATCATAACAAATTATGGATAACATTCCTAAGAATGGGGATTCCAGAACATTTAATTATGATCTTGAGTAACCTGTACATAGACCAATAGGCAGTTGTTCAAACAGAATAAGGAAATGCCATATGGTTTAAAATTAGGAAAAGTATGTGTCAGAGTTATATTATATCCTTTCACCATACTTAATTCAATCCGTATGCTGAACAAATAATCTGAAAAGCTGGACTATACTAAGACTTAAGAGGCATCAGTATTGGAGGAAGACTCATCAGCAACCTATGATATGCAAATGAGACAACCATGCTTGCTGAAAGTAGAGAATACTTGAAGCACTTACTTATAAAGATAAAAGACTATAGGCTTCGGTATGGATTACCTCACAATGTAAAAATCCTTGCAACGGAACCAATAAGCATCGTAAGTGGAGAAAAGATTGAAGTTATCAAGAATTTCACTTAACTTGAGTCCAGAGTCAACACCCATGGAAGCAGAAGTCAAGAAATCAAATGACATATTGCACTGGACAAATCTGGTCAACAGAGCTCTTAACAGCTATCACTTTGAAGACAAGGTGCACCTGACTCAAGCCATGGTGTTTTCAATCTCCTCACAGGCATGTGAAAGCTGGACATTGAATAAGGAAGTCTGAAGAAAAATTGATACATCTGAATTACAATGTTGGGGAAGAATATTGACTATAACATAGACTGCCAGAAGAACAAACAAATCTGTCCAGGATGAAATACAGCTAGAATGTTCTTTTGAAGAGAGAAATGCAAGACTTCATTTCACATACTTTGGGCATCTTATCAGAAAGGACCAGTCCCTGAAGAAGAATATCATGCTTGGTCAACTACAGGGTCAGTGAATAAGAGGAAGACCCTCAATGAGAAGGACTGACAAAGTGGCTGCAACAATGGGTTCAAACATAGCAACAATTGTAAAGATGGTGCAGGACCAGGCAGTATTTTGTTCTGTTGTACGCAAGGTCACTATGAGTTGGAACCGACTTGACAGAACGTAACAAGTATTTTGGATGTTCATAATCAATCATCTGTACATATGCATATTCATTGTGTATGTATCTTTATAATAATGGGTGGATGTGATTACCCATGTTTTCTTGGTGTGACTATGTTCAATTATGTATCCTTCTGAAAATAAGCAAATGTATCTACAGAACAAATTCCTAGAAGCTGAATTGTTTGGTGAATGAATATTTTCATTTTTATAACCATTGCTAATAGCCTTTCACAGATATCCCATCAATTTCTACTCCCACCAACAGTATATAACCATGTTGTCTCGTGCTCTTGTCAGCACTGTGTACTGTTTAACCCTTCACTGATGTGAAAGGTGAAAAATGGCAAATCATTGTTATTTTCATTCATCCATTCATTCAACAAATATTTATTTACCCATTATGTTACAAGCTACTATTGGCTCTAGGAATATAATAGTAAATAAAATATATAA